TTTGACCCCACATTAGTTTTCTGTTGAATCCATGATTTGATCATTAGCAAAGTGTAAAAGATATATATAAACATAGTGAGGGTACATACCATTAATAATAATACATGTATACGACAATGTAAAACTTTGTATCGATTTACTGTATCAGCGGCCCATGGATCGATGCATCGATGCGTATCGTCACAACACTAATTGCAATACGCCAACACATATCGCAATATATCTCAATACGAAAATATTGGCAATACCCAACTCTAGTTATCCCGGTGTCCTTCCATTATGCAGACAGCCAGTTCGCAGACACCTTAAAACAGCAACATTTACGGTTCAGTGAACAGATTATCTACTACCTGTTACCTACACATTATAATGGTATAGTTCAAATAAATGTTATTTATTTTGAAAGATGGACGAAATGACAGTAATTTAAATTTTTTGCACACAATATTAAGATATATGACGAGTGCACGTAATTGCGATTTATTTAGAGTAAATATTTAAAATATGACGTATCATGTAAATGTGGCCATGGATGTGAGAATGCTTTTCATTACTTCCTTGGATGTCCATTGTATACTACTCAAAGACATAAACTGTCACAATCTTTAGAAAGTATTGTTAAAATTCGAACACTGATTGGTATTAATCGTATCTTACATGGCAATGCAGGTGTCTCATATACTGCGAATCAGAAGGTTTTCAAATATGTACATATCTATACAAAACGATTTCTCAGTTAACTTCTGTTGTACATATGCTATTTATTGGGAGGGGGTCTTTTCTATCAATAAACACAATCAAACCTCTCAGTGACAAACCTTTTTTTATTTTCGATAGTAATTCATAGTAAAATCAATTTTGAGAAGAGAAATCATTTATCATTTAATCACAACAAAGTTCTATTTACCCACAATCCAACTTCTCAGTAACGAACCTGTTTCAGGCTCACCCTGCTCTACTCACTAGACAGTGGACTGTTCTATTATACCCGTAGGTGTTACCCTAAATAACCTTCTAGGACAGTGTCTGTCATTGATTGTCTTTGTTGTGATTGAATGATAAATGATTTCTCTTCTCAAATTTGATTTTACTATCAATTACTATCGAATATAAAAACAGGTTTGTCACATGTAACAATGGACTATTTGTTACTCCCCAAACCAAGGATTTACTTTTACTTTTGTTTGCAGACGATATTGTTACGTTTTCATTTATGGTAAACAGTTTGCAGGGACAGCTGAATATTCTTCAAACATTTTGTGACACATGGGGATAAGAGTTGAATATGCAAAAACCTAGCATAGTTGTATTTAGAAACGGGGTATAGTGACACATTCTGTAAAAGGTCATTCCGTGGCAAAATTATGAATGTTGTTTCATATTATAAATGTTTGGTTCTTTTATTTTCCAGTCGATTAAATTGGTCCATGGCATGTAAAACCCTCGCAGCACAAGCTAAGAAGGCATTATTTCCTATTTTCATTTTTTTAAAGTTAATAAGTTTATTTCATTTGATTCTGCTTGCTTACTTTTTGACACTAATATAGCACCAATTTTGTTATACGTATCAGAAATTTGGGGAGCAAACTATTTCGAAGCCATTGAAAATGTCCATGCATCATATTTTTGAAAAGATTTCTTACAGTTGGTTAATTCGCTTCCAATAAAGCCATACTTGGTAGGTGTAACCGTAATTAACCTTCTAGTGCAGTGTCTGTTAATTGGGTGTCTGTCAAATGGGTGTCTGTCAAATGGGAGATAACCGTTGAACATCTCAGATGAAACAACCGCATAATCAACAGTGCTGCAACCGGTCTTTGAAATGTAACTTAAATTTCCAAGAATATCGGGCATACTTCTACCATTCACAATATGTATATTCATTACTTTACACAGCTCGAGTAAGCACTTTCCATACATATTTGTGACAGTATCATATGAATTGCGGGATTTAGCAAAGTTATCCTGTGAATAGTCGTGACCAACAGGAAGATAATAGATTCTTGCCTTTGTTTTTATTAAATGTTTCGGACATTGTCTTTATTTTCAAATCTCCGTGTTTCTGCACACAGTGATTCACAACTGCAGAACAGTAATACATATAAGGCAATATCCACCTAACCTTCTCATCCATGATGGTAAATCTAAAATTGATCGAAAATATATTTTGTTACATCGAAACACCTGCCTATTTCATATTTTCGAGTAACTTTAAGAAAAGGTGTACAGAAATTTCCGATCACTGCCTATTCCAAATTTCCGATCACTGAATTCTGTTTCGCTGTACTCCCGCGACCACTTCACTGAATATCAATTTTACATTTTGTTTCATCTGAATGACTTCCTCTTTTTAACAGAAGCTACTTCTGTTGATATGTTTTAGCTCTGTATGTCATTCATAGAAAAAATGAAATTATATTTCCAATAAACGTAGTATTTGTCTACGTGAAAAGATATGTTCTGCCGATAATCGCTGATTGCTTTCGTCATGTTTAAACTAGCAACTTTAAACTTTCTATAAATAACCATCAAAACCCTTGCATTCGTGTAATGTAAATATTTAACGATATTTTTCGTCTTTCACAAATGAACCTACATTCACCGCCAAAACAAGCACGCGATCACTGCAAACGTAGGCGGACAGTCACCCTATCACTGCACTCTGCAGGACAATGGTTCCAAGGGGTGATGATTGTTGACGACAACACCAGGCCGCACCGTTCCCAGCAGCCGTTCTCGACAACTGATAACCGTTTGTAATAGATTAGAACAGAACGTTAGCATCCGTTCTAAACAAGCAACAACCGTTTTCGACAGGTAACGGAGTCCCCCAAGCCGAGTGCCATCACGGCCGCCCCTTCCTATTAGATGATTTCATGGTGTCTATAATTTGCAGTTTGTAAACAATCTTGGTACAGGAAGTGACGTAGAAACATTTCTACACTTTACCAAGGAAGGGTACCTTACATGGTACCTTATGATACCAATGTCTGCCAACACATTATCATTATTATTATTATGCTAACATTTGTATGGAGCCGATATCCAGCTCAGCTGCTCACAAGCGCTTTGTTTTTCCCTCGATCACTGGATGTCAGTCTCAACGGCACATCGTATTATCAATCTCAACTCCCTGGGGAGTATACAACTCTTGAAGCCACCGAGTTAGTTAGGCGCACCGAGTTAGTGTGGCTTTCCCATCCTTAAACAGCTGGGAGGACTGGGACACATAGTCACAGTACTTTGTCCAAGTTTACTGCACGTTGCTGTACCCGCATCTAGGTGTTTGCACGTATTCATGTGGCCACCATCTGGTCATATACCAACGGATTTGTGGGTTCTTTTAAGTGCACAGGGTTGTGTACTGTACACTAGGGGTTGTGACAACACTGAAAGAGTCTGCACACATAGTTGACTCCAAGGTTTTTACACCAGGTCGCAGGTGGGCTCGATCCCGTCACCTCAAGCTCGCTGGATCACTAGCCTTAGACAGTTCGCCCATCACGCCCCTCAACACATCACGTACTACACAGAGTGTAAACATATCCAGTTTGGTTTAAAGATATTTTATTGTCTCAAAATTACAAAAGGACCAGGAAAACATGGAAGTCGACTTTCTCGCTCGTCTACCGTAAGTAGTAATAGTTATTTGCTTTATTTAACGTCGCACGCACAACTAAGGTATTTCGTACAGAGAGTATCGAGCACAGAGAGTATAGATTACACTGTTGCAAACAAACAATAAATTGTAGACATTTTCTCTGCAGAGGTACAACTGGCAATACTCCTATCGTATTGTGTGACATGTGAGTGAGTGAGTGAGTGAGACAGGATTTCAGCTATGTCGCGTTGCGTCAACTTGGGTTTCCGGCACACCAAAAGGTGTAGTGATGACACATGTACAATATAACATTACGTATTCAGACAGAGTAGATAAATAAATAACAAGCTTGGCAAGTCAGGCCCACAGCAGCATACAGAGAAACACCACAGTCTGGGACGCCTCTTTCCGCTGACAGACAGTAACAGGAAGTACAAATGCTCTAATAGGCAATTCTAATAGGCAAATTTACATGTTGCATCCCAGACTAGTCTAACTCATTTATTATTTGTCAGTGCACGACTTCACGAGCTAGATATGACGTGGATAACACACTGTTATTTATCAATGCACGACTTCACGAGCTAGATATGACGTGAATAACACACTGTTATTTATCAATGGCAGACTTCAAGGGCTACATATGACATGGGTTACACGCTGTTATTTGTCAATGCACGACTTCACGAGCTAGATATGACGTGGATAACGCACACTGTTATTTGTCAGTGCACGACTTCACGAGCTAGATATGACGTGGATAACACGGTGTTATTTGTCAATGCACGACTTCACGAGCTAGATATGACGTGCATAACACACTGTTATTTATCAATGCACGACTTCACGAGCTAGATATGACGTGGATAACACACTGTTATTTATCAATGCACGACTTCACGAGCTAGATATGACGTGGATAACACACTGTTATTTATCAATGCACGACTTCACGAGCTAGATATGACGTGCATAACACACTGTTATTTATCAATGCACGACTTCACAAGCTAGATATGACGTGGATAACACACTGTTATTTATCAATGCACGACTTTACGAGCTAGATATGACGTGGATAACACACTGTTATTTATAAATGCACGACTTCACGAGCTAGATATGACGTGGATAACACGGTGTTATTTGTCAATGCACGACTTCACGAGCTAGATATGACGTGAATAACACACTGTTATTTATCAATGCACGACTTCACGAGCTAGATATGACGTGGATAACACGGTGTTATTTGTCAATGCACGACTTCACGAGCTAGATATGACGTGCATAACACACTGTTATTTATCAATGCACGACTTCACGAGCTAGATATGACGTGGATAACACACTGTTATTTATCAATGCACGACTTCACGAGCTAGATATGACGTGATAATACACACACTGTTATTTATCAATGCACGACTTCACGAGCTAGATATGACGTGCATAACACACTGTTATTTATCAATGCACGACTTCACAAGCTAGATATGACGTGGATAACACACTGTTATTTATCAATGCACGACTTTACGAGCTAGATATGACGTGCATAACACACTGTTATTATTCAATGCACGACTTCACGAGCTAGATATGACGTGGATAACACACTGTTATTTATAAATGCACGACTTCACGAGCTAGATATGACGTGGATAACACACTGTTATTAATCAATGCACGACTTCACGAGCTAGATATGACGTGGATAACACACTGTTATTTATAAATGCACGACTTCACGAGCTAGATATGACGTGGATAACACGGTGTTATTTGTCAATGCACGACTTCACGAGCTAGATATGACGTGAATAACACACTGTTATTTATCAATGCACGACTTCACGAGCTAGATATGACGTGGATAACACGGTGTTATTTGTCAATGCACGACTTCACGAGCTAGATACGACGTGGATAACACACTGTTATTTATCAATGCACGACTTTAAGAGCTAGATATGACGTGGATAACACACTGTTATTTATCAATGCACGACTTAAGAGCTAGATAGATAGTGCGGGGTTATCTGTCAACACAAAGCTTCAAGGGCTGAAGTAAGATACATGTAAATTGTTATAGGGAACCTGGTTTTTACTTTCAGCGTTCAATCCCCAAACCTACGTTCTCTCAATGACCCAAGCATCCTCCCTTCAGTACGATGATTGTCATGTAGATTGTCTGGTCAAGTGACGTTCATCACCTTCTCACATTGGCGAATTGTTGACCATAAATGCGCCGAAGTAAGTGAACTGTTGATTCATCCGGAGACGTGCATACCGCCTGCAATAGCCGGAGACTCGAACCCGGATTTTGTCCCCTCTCATCAACACGAATAGCCCGGCCTGCAGCTGTGTGTCAAGGGGGTAAACATGGCCATCCTGGACGTTGGACCGTAAGTAGGCTCCACCCCTGACAACGACAAAATGAAGATCATTTGTTCTATGTTCTGAAGCTTTAAATTTGAATTTAATCAAAAAGGAAACATCGTCTCATTGGCCGTTTAATTGTTATACTCCCATGGTGCGTTAGGTATCACATATGAAAGTGATATACATGTACATGTATTACAGGTGGAAGGATATATCGGTACATGTATTACAGGTGGAAGGATATATCGGTGTAACGCCGGCCATAGAAACAATAATCAAAACTATCGACTAATTAATCTGTGGTATTAGACTGTGGTGTTACTCTCTGTCCTGGGTTACAACCATTCAAAGAAGTCATGTGGTGTTACTCTCTGTCCTGGGTTACAACCATTCAAAGAAGTCATGTGGTGTTACTCTCTGTCCTGGGTTACAACCAGTCAAAGAAGTCATGTGGTGTTACTCTCTGTCCTGGGTTACAACCAGTCAAAGAAGTCATGTGGTGTTACTCTCTGTCCTGGGTTACAACCAGTCAAAGAAGTCATGTGGTGTTACTCTCTGTCCTGGGTTACAACCAGTCAAAGAAGTCATGTGGTGTTACTCTCTGTCCTGGGTTACAACCAGTCAAAGAAGTCATGTGGTGTAAACGTTAATATTAATTACCCGAAGGAAACACTATGTCATTGGCTTTAAGTCTAGGGCGGTCAGCAACAACCCTGCCTTGGATTTAAGTGATGTGACGTTGTCCATTCAGATTTTGGATAACTGCCACAAGGTAAAGTTTACATTCATGTGACAGGCACTCCCACACCGTCAATGGACCAGCGCCAAGTGGTACATGCTCCAACACCCGCCAAGTGGTACACGCTCCAACACCCGCCAAGTGGTACATGCTCCAGCCGCCGCCACGTGGTACATGCTCCAACCCCCGCCAAGTGGTACACGCTCCAACCCCCGCCAAGTGGTACATGCTCCTACCCCCGCCAAGTGGTACATGCTCCAACCCCCGCCAAGTGGTACATGCTCCTACCCCGCCAAGTGGTACATGCTCCAACCCCGCCAAGTGGTACATGCTCCAACCCCCGCCAAGTGGTACATGCTCCAACCCCCGCCAAGTGGTACATGCTCCTACCCCCGCCAAGTGGTACATGCTCCAACCCCCGCCAAGTGGTACATGCTCCTACCCCCGCCAAGTGGTACATGCTCCAACCCCGCCAAGTGGTACATGCTCCAACCCCGCCAAGTGGTACATGCTCCAACCCCGCCAAGTGGTACATGCTCCTACCCCGCCAAGTGGTACATGCTCCAACCCCGCCAAGTGGTACATGCTCCAACCCCGCCAAGTGGTACATGCTCAAACCCCGCCAAGTGGTACATGCTCAAACCCCGCCAAGTGGTACACGCTCCAACCCCCGCCAAGTGGTACATGCTCCAACCCCGCCAGGTGGTACATGCTCCAACCCCCGCCAAGTGGTACATGCTCCAACTCCCGCCAAGTGGTACATGCTCCTACCCCCGCCAAGTGGTACATGCTCCAACCCCCGCCAAGTGGTGCATGCTCCTACACCCGCCAAGTGGTACATGCTCCAACCCCGCCAAGTGGTACATGCTCCAACCCCGCCAAGTGGTACATGCTCAACCCCCGCCAAGTGGTACATGCTCCAAGCCCCGCCAAGTGGTACACGCTCCAACCCCGCCAAACGGTACATGCTCCAACCCCCGCCAAGTGGTACATGCTCCTACCCCCGCCAAGTGGTACATGCTCCAACCCCCGCCAAGTGGTACACGCTCCAACCACTACTTACTCCCTGTCCTGGGTTACAACACTCACTGACAAGCACTACTTACTCTCTGTCCTGGGTTACAACCCTCACTGACAAGCATTACTTACTCTCTGTCCTGGGTTACAACCCTCACTGACAAGCATTACTTACTCTCTGTGCTGGGTTACAACCCTCACTGACAAGCACTACTTACTCTCTGTACTGGGTTACAACCCTCACTGACAAGCACTACTTACTCCCTGTCCTGGGTTACAACCCTCACTGACAAGAATTACTTACTCTCTGTCCTGGGTTACAACCCTCACTGACAAGCATTACTTACTCCCTGTCCTGGGTTACAACCCTCACTGACAAGCACTACTTACTCTAAGTCCTGGGTCACAACACTCACTGACAATCACTACTTACTCTCTGTACTGGGTTACAACCCTCACTGACAAGCACTACTTACTCTCTGTGCTGGGTTACAACCCTCACTGACAAGCACTACTTACTCTAAGTCCTGGGTCACAACACTCACTGACAATCACTACTTACTCTCTGTACTGGGTTACAACCCTCACTGACAAGCACTACTTACTCTCTGTGCAGGGTTACAACCCTCACTGACAAGCACTACTTACTCTCTGTCCTGGGTCACAATACTTCTCAGTAGTATAAGGTATGAAGAGTCGCCAGCCTCACGTTCCCTGATGACATCGTGCCCACATTCTGGCAACGCCGTATTCCTGACAGTGAGAAATGTTTTGTCTAATTAGACTTTAAAATGTAAAGAAGAAACTACTGTGGTTCTGTAAGATAGATCACTTACAAATCGGAATAACTCAAAATTGTTCTGGAACACAATGTGCAGGCTCTCTCCATGTCCTTTCTTCTATTCCCAACATAACAATGGAATTGTGGAATACACATTTCAAATATATATTTCAGCATACCGCTACTCGTAATGACGAATTACATTCTTTTGATCATTATATCGAAGATAAGATAGATCAAAACTGCCTAAGTATACTTGATGCTCCTATTACAAGAGATGAGAACTGAGCAGCGATTACAGAACTAAAATCATCTGAGAGTGCTGGGCCTGATCACATCATAGCAGAATCCTCACAGGATATTTTAGTTCCCCATATTCAACTGTTATTCAATGTTCTGTGGTGCTGTAGAGCATGTTTTCCAGAATCGTAAATATTTATTTGCGGGAATACAAAGTCACGGTTGGGTTGTGGACAGTATTATATCTCTACTGACAAAATCATGTACATATTGGTACGTACGCAATAGTTTTTCCGTTTAAAGCGACCTGTGAATAGATGAAATAGGTCCCGCTGGACCTGATGATCAGACCCTGGACCTCAGTGGACGATGAGGGAACAGGTTCGTACCCGAAGCTGTTTACCGCAGACATTGGCCGCTGCCATGTTATGAATTCATCTGAAAATTTGTAAAAACATCTGAAAAAATCATTTCGAATAATTAACAAGTCACGTTATGCATATTGATGTCAGGAACATAGCATATTTATTCCTTTGAGTTAAGTCAATAAGACGAAGTGACAACTCTTTACAGCCAATAAGTTGTCCTACTGTTTGTAAATGAATATATAAACACATGTGGAAAATACTGATTAGTGTAAGGGAGACAACTCTTAACAGTGGTCTTCAGCTTAAAGCCTGATGCTGACAGCATACATAAGTGCCAAGTCGCACACCTATATGAATCTTTGTTTGTTGATAAAATCGGTTGCATGACCGCCTGGGTCACATCAACCATTATGACGTCATGATGTGTGTGTTAGTCGTCAAGGTGACCTGAATGGGTGGACACAGAAGGACCTGAATGGATGGACACAGTATGACCTGAATGGGTGGACACAGTATGACCTGAATGGGTGGACACAGTATGACCTGAATGGGTGGACACAGTATGACCTGAATGGGTGGACACAGTATGACCTGAATGGATGGACACAGTATGACCTGAATGGGTGGACACAGTATGACCTGAATGGATGGACACAGTATGACCTGAATGGATGGACACAGTATGACCTGAATGGATGGACACAGTATGACCTGAATGGGTGGACACAGTATGACCTGAATGGATGGACACAGTATGACCTGAATGAATGGATGGACACAGTATGACCTGAATGGATGGACACAGTATGACCTGAATGGGTGGACACAGTATGACCTGAATGGATGGACACAGTATGACCTGAATGGATGGACACAGTATGACCTGAATGGGTGGACACAGTATGACCTGAATGGATGGACACAGTATGACCTGAATGGATGGACACAGTATGACCTGAATGGATGGACACAGTATGACCTGAATGGATGGACACAGTATGACCTGAATGGATGGACACAGTATGACCTGAATGGATGGACACAGTATGACCTGAATGGATGGACACAGTATGACCTGAATGGGTGGACACAGTATGACCTGAATGGATGGACACAGTATGACCTGAATGGGTGGACACAGTATGACCTGAATGGGTGGACACAGTATGACCTGAATGGGTGGACACAGTATGACCTGAATGGGTGGACACAGTATGACCTGAATGGGTGGACACAGTATGACCTGAATGGGTGGACACAGCATGACCTGAATGGGTGGACACAGTATGACCTGAATGGTTGACACAGTATGACCTGAATGGTTGGACACAGTATGACCTGAATGGATGGACACACACAGTATGACCTGACTGGATGGACACAGTATGACCTGAATGGGTGGACACACATGACCTACAGCATGGCCTGAATGGGTGGACACAGTATGACCTGAATGGGTGGACACAGTATGACCTGAATGGGTGGACACAGTATGACCTGACCTGGATGGACACAGTATGACCTGAATGGATGGACACAGTATGACCTGAATGGATGGACATGTATGACCTGAATGGATGGACACAGTATGACCTGAATGGATGGACACAGTATGACCTGAATGGATGGACACAGTATGACCTGAATGGATGGACACAGTATGACCTGAATGGGTGGACACAGTATGACCTGAATGGATGGACACAGTATGGACCTGAATGGATGGATGGACACAGTATGACCTGAATGGGTGGACACAGTATGACCTGAATGGGTGGACACAGTATGACCTGAATGGGTGGACACAGTATGACCTGAATGGGTGGACACAGTATGACCTGAATGGGTGGACACAGTATGACCTGAATGGATGGACACAGTATGACCTGAATGGGTGGACACAGTATGACCTGAATGGGTGGACACAGTGATGACCTGAATGGATGGACACAGTATGACCTGAATGGGTGGACACAGTATGACCTGAATGGATGGACACAGTATGACCTGAATGGATGGACACAGTATGACCTGAATGGGTGGACACAGTATATGACCTGAATGGGTGGGACACAGTATGGATGGACACAGTATGACCTGAATGGATGGACACAGTATGACCTGAATGGATGGACACAGTATGACCTGAATGGATGGACACAGTATGACCTGAATGGGTGGACACAGTATGACCTGAATGGGTGGACACAGTATGACCTGAATGGGTGGACACAGTATGACCTGAATGGATGGACACAGTATGACCTGAATGGGTGGACACAGTATGACCTGAATGGATGGACACAGTATGAACCTGAATGGATGGACACAGTATGACCTGAATGGGTGGACACAGTATGACCTGAATGGGTGGACACAGTATGACCTGAATGGGTGGACACAGTATGACCTGAATGGATGGACACAGTATGACCTGAATGGGTGGACACAGTATGACCTGAATGGATGGACACAGTATGACCTGAATGGGTGGACACAGTATGACCTGAATGGGTGGACACAGTATGACCTGAATGGATGGACACAGTATGACCTGAATGGGTGGACACAGACATGACCTGAATGGGTGGACACAGTATGACCTGAATGGGTGGACACAGTATGACCTGAATGGATGGACACAGTATGACCTGAATGGGTGGACACAGTATGACCTGAATGGATGGACACAGTATGACCTGAATGGGTGGACACAGTATGACCTGAATGGATGGACACAGTATGACCTGAATGGGTGGACACAGTATGACCTGAATGGATGGACACAGTATGACCTGAATGGATGGACACAGTATGACCTGAATGGGTGGACACAGTATGACCTGAATGGATGGACACAGTATGACCTGAATGGGTGGACACAGTATGACCTGAATGGATGGACACAGTATGACCTGAATGGGGTGGACACAGTATGACCTGAATGGATGGACACAGTATGACCTGAATGGGGTGGACACTGAATGGATGGACACAGTATGACCTGAATGGATGGACACAGTATGACCTGAATGGGTGGACACTATATGACCTGAATGGGTGGACACAGTATGACCTGAATGGATGGACACAGTATGACCTGAATGGGTGGACACAGTATGACCTGAATGGATGGACACAGTATGACCTGAATGGGTGGACACACACAGTATATGACCTGAATGGATGGACACAGTATGACCTGAATGGGTGGACACAGTATGACCTGAATGGGTGGACACAGTATGACCTGAATGGATGGACACAGTATGACCTGAATGGGTGGACACAGTATGACCTGAATGGATGGACACAGTATGACCTGAATGGATGGACACAGCATGACCTGAATGGGTGGACACAGTATGACCTGAATGGATGGACACAGTATGACCTGAATGGGTGGACACAGTATATGACCTGAATGGATGGACACAGTATGACCTGAATGGGTGGACACAGTATGACCTGAATGGATGGACACAGTATGACCTGAATGGGTGGACACAGTATGACCTGAATGGGTGGACACAGTATGACCTGAATGGGTGGACACAGTATGACCTGAATGGATGGACACAGTATGACCTGAATGGGTGGACACAGTATGACCTGAATGGATGGACACAGTATGACCTGAATGGGTGGACACAGTATGACCTGAATGGGTGGACACAGTATGACCTGAATGGATGGACACAGTATGACCTGAATGGGTGGACACAGTATGACCTGAATGGGTGGACACAGTATGACCTGAATGGATGGACACAGTATATGACACAGTATGACCTGAATGGGTGGACACAGTATGACCTGAATGGGTGGACACAGTATGACCTGAATGGATGGACACAGTATGACCTGAATGGGTGGACACAGTATGACCTGAATGGGTGGACACAGTATGACCTGAATGGGTGGACACAGTATGACCTGAATGGAGTGGACACAGTATGACCTGAATGGATGGACACAGTATGACCTGAATGGGTGGACACAGTATGACCTGAATGGACACAGTGGACACAGTATGACCTGAATGGATGGACACAGTATGACCTGAATGGGTGGACACAGTATGACCTGAATGGAATGGACACAGTATGACCTGAATGGAATGGACACAGTATGACCTGAATGGATGGACACAGTATGACCTGAATGGGTGGACACAGTATGACCTGAATGGATGGACACAGTATGACCTGAATGGGTGGACACAGTATGACCTGAATGGATGGACACAGTATGACCTGAATGGGTGGACACAGTATGACCTGAATGGGTGGACACAGTATGACCTGAATGGATGGACACAGTATGACCTGAATGGGTGGACACAGTATGACCTGAATGGGTGGACACAGTATGACCTGAATGGATGGACACAGTATGACCTGAATGGGTGGACACAGTATGACCTGAATGGATGGACACAGTATGACCTGAATGGGTGGACACAGTATGACCTGAATGGATGGACACAGTATGAATGGAATGGATGGACACAGTATGACCTGAATGGGTGGACACAGTATGACCTGAATGGGTGGACACAGTATGACCTGAATGGATGGACACAGTATGACCTGAATGGATGGACACAGTATGACCTGAATGGGTGGACACAGTATGACCTGAATGGGTGGACACAGTATGACCTGAATGGATGGACACAGTATGACCTGAATGGACACAGTATGGACACAGACACAGTATGACCTGAATGGGTGGACACAGTATGACCTGAATGGGTGGACACAGTATGACCTGAATGGATGGACACAGTATGACCTGAATGGATGGACACAGTATGACCTGAATGGATGGACACAGTATGACCTGAATGGGTGGACACAGTATGACCTGAATGGAGTGGACACAGTATGACCTGAATGGATGGACACAGTATGACCTGAATGGATGGACACAGTATGACCTGAATGGGTGGACACAGTATGACCTGAATGGGTGGACACAGTATGACCTGAATGGGTGGACACAGTATGACCTGAATGGGTGGACACAGTATGACCTGAATGGATGGACACAGTATGACCTGAATGG